ATTCTTATACATATTACAGTAGCTTTTCCTGTTTTAGTCACCTCATTGAACACCGGGAATAACGACTTTTAAAACTGCACTCGAAGTTTATTGACCTATTCAAATTCATATGCCTATTGCAATGATGTGCACATCATTATTAAACTTACTAATTAATCATCGTTGAGCATGGTGGTAAAACTACTTCTATACCAAGGTTTCGAGTAAGAGAATGCGATTCGAATTACTTATACATGCTCCAATGTTGCTGCCTCAACAATAAAAAAATAGTTAGTATTTTTGTGAGTTTGTTCTGGGATGTTCTTTGTTGGCCGAGCTCCTTGATGGCAGGTTTTTATTTTGTTGGGCGAGATAGTCCAAATGGCAAATTGTCCTTGGCTGGCCTTTGGCGGTTGTGAAACTTGCATGATGAATCTGTCTGTTGAATTCAGATTGTTGGACGGGAATGTCTAAATCTGAATTGTTCTTTGCTCCCTGGTGGTGTATGATAATGGTTGGTTGTAGTTTGTTGGATGGGGAAAATTATTCTTTTGAGTTTGTCTTTTATTTGTTGAGTGTGTCATTTGTTGAGTTTGTCCTTTGTTTGTTGAGATTGTCTTTTGTTTGTTGAGTTTGTCTTTTGTTTGTTGAGTTTGTCCTTTGTTGGGTTTGTGCTTTGTTGAGTTTGTCCTTTGTTTGTTGAGATTTCTATTTCGATCCTAATGGCTGCCCACACATAATTGGCCTACGATTAAACCATGTGTGACCTTGCTGTAAATACGCCAATTGATATGGTAATTTACCCTGTACAATCATGGGATTGTATGACCCAACCCTACACAACAATCTGTAGTTAGATGATTCTGTATATATTATCTTTAAGATGCAGTTTTCATGTGTTTTTACAGCCATTCTCCTTGCCATGCAGGGAATAGGCTTAGTCAGATGTGAACATGGTGGTGAAAAAGATGACATTATTGACCTGAGCTATCCCTTTGACGGGAACACATTATTCTGGCCTGGGCAAGACCCTTTCGTGCAAACAATTGGCTATCGGGGATCAACCGGGAATAGTTGGTAAGTAGCAAGAAGCAACCTTAGTGTCATCAACATTTTTATCACTTCAGATGTATTTTATATCACCTGAGCTACGGTACCGTACCGAACATGTTTGTGACACCAAAATTTACCGTATCGAACTTAAAAACAATCTCGATAGTGTATTTCATTTCACATAATCAAATGAAAAATAGGAAAGACCTTTGATAATTGTTGCTAGACGGTACCGTATTTCTACTTTGTTTTGCTAAAGGCACGGTAAATGGCATTACGTCACCATAACCCAATGAAGTGCCAGAATGTGCGTGACGTCATTTTTTGAAGCCTGGCATTGCATATCAACCGCAATGAGCGGTGAACAGTACTGGGAAATTAGAACATAAAAATGTACAATATTGTTGACTTTACTGTCATCGTTAAATAGGCGTATGGTTCCACTTTATAGTAAAGAGTTTCATTTAGCTAGGCCTATATATAACCATTATCAAACAAGGACTGATTTCTGTACCAAACTCTTGGCATATGCCTCTAGGGAAGGTAGCCGATCATTTCGGTCGCGCTTCGTTTCGGTCGCGCTTTGTTTCGGTTGCGGTTTATTTCGAACAAATATATGGAGCGCCGAAGGAGTTGCGAAAACGAAAAATTTAATATGCCTAGGCCCTATATATTTTAGTTCGTGAATCGGTTTATCATAGGCCTAAGTATTACTGTTTTGCTATCTTTCCACTAACAAAATATCTTTCTGCTATATTCTCTTTCTTCCATTTACGGGGATTATTCATGATTGCAACATGATCTTGTAATTGAAACAATGGAATTTAGTATGTGCTTCATGCTATTCTTTTTGTTGTGTTTTCATGTACAATAATTCAATAATTAATAAATGGTCAATAATAATAATTCAATAATTAATAAATGGTCAATAAAATGTGTCTTTGATTTTAATTGAATTGAATATTGTTACCATTTGAAATCTATTTCATAATTTAGTTAAAACAATAATCATTCAATATTTAAACTGATCATTTTATACAATAAATATATTTATTTTTCTTGCAGCTTTCAGAGTTTGGATAAAACATACCAAGAGAATTGAAGGAAACACGAAAAAAATAAACGAATAATACGCACATTATCATTCACTTGAAATCTTTAATACCCCTGCGCAGTTCATAAATATGAATATATATTTATATATGTTTTTAT